TAAATCTGGACTGTCTTAGTGTGGCCATGGCATGATTATATCATATTTGAACCTCACATATCCACAGTCTCAGTAAAACGACCTCCAAACTGATGGTAACTAAGAACCAAGAGACGTTTTTGTGCCAAACACGACACAATGATAACACTGATGGCTGTAGTCCAATCACTCAGTGTCCAAAAAGTAGTTTCTTTAATAACCATTTTGTTTGTGCTTGCGGTAAAGGCTAAGACAAAATAAAATAAGTGGGTAAAGGGTAATTTGCCCTGTAACCGTGTCTTTTCAGAAAGTTTCCCTTTCTTGGCTGTCACCACGCCAACAAAATAAAAGCATAAATTGTGGTTAATCCCTGGAGCAGAGACATTGTGCCTGAAGCCTGTTGGTAATGGGCAATGCCCTTTCTAATCTAAATAAAGTTAAGCGTTTGTAACAGCGACTGCATTATGGAAAATCCAATTTGTGATTGCAACATCTGTACTTAACCTATGGGTAGCTCTTTGTTGGTCCAAGCAGCTAAGCTGCATGTCTTTTCCATGATTAGTTTTCCAGGAAACTTACATGTACATGACCTTGCATGCAATGCTTATGATTCATATGCGAAAACTGGGTCCTGGTCATTATGGTGGTAAAAAAGAATTAACATCTAAATATTCAAAGACATGCAAACCCGTGCACAGAGTGCAGAACTCAGAGATATTGTATATGCATACAAGAACTGTATCCTTTTCTCAAAGGCTCACGTGCAAACAGTCCTACATATGCACAGTATCATCCAGCCTATTAAAATAATTACAGGTTATTTGCTTAACTACCATTTGTTTAACAATGAATAGGAATATTTATTATTATTATTATTATTATTATTATTATTATTATTATTATTATTATATGCATTTATTGTTATTGATAATTACACTTACATGACATCATGGAGCAAAAAAAGAAACTCAAACGTAAAGACCTAAGACATCTACATCAAACATCTCTCTGGCACCAACTCCAAATATCTTTTCTTCTGGCCTCTGAAAAGGCTTCTTCTATTTGTCTTACTGACATAATGCCAACCAAAGCAAACCAGAAGAGTTAATTCACCAACTTGGCCAAAGCTTCCCTCTCCACCCCCACCTGTCAAATCCTGTCAGACCATATGTCATCAGGAGAAGGACACGAAGAAAAGGGACCATTCTCGCACATTTGGGACGTGTCCAGAGGCTTATTTGTAAGCCTGCAGGGTGTGGCAGGTAAGCTTCCACCTCAAAGGCAACAGCTCCCTCCCATGTAATTGCTCTTCATCAGATCAAGCTGCATGACATTCCTACAGACTGTTTCAAGTGACTGCTGCCAAAAGACAGAGAGTTAACAGCCATCAAAAGAGACTATCTCCGATCTGGATCAGTGGTGGTTGATGGGATATCGCTGCGTCGTTAGCTCAGGTTTCAGACTACACCCCAATAATAAACAATGCAAACATAAAATACAGCCCACTGAGGGTCTCAACCAAGCAAAATACAGCAGGGACACATAAAGCTAATATGCCAGCAATATGCATTTAAAAAATCCCTCAAACAAAACAGTGTTATTTGCCCTAATAAGACTTTCACTTATCAGAGCTGGGACCGTTCTAGCGAGTCAGAGGAAGGATGCATCCTCAGGCAAAGCAGAGATAAGGGCCTTTGATAGAATTAAGCCAACGTCAAACAGCCAGTAGATGAGTCCTGTGAAGATAAAGCAGCCAGGACTGACAGGTCTGATAATAGTCCAAACAAAGAGAAAGTGGAGATTAAGGGGTTCCTTTTCAGGCAGTTAAGTGGACTGCCCAGAGGACACTCCAAAACATGGCTCATCTGTCAGGGACGGGAGGAATGGATACCATCACTGACGCTTCATCCACAGGACTGATAGTATCTAGGAATTCCTATAAAGAATGCTGTTCAGATTTTTGGGTATCATCAGTGGTTTAATCAGCATGTTTGCATCTTACGTTATGTTTTAAACATTTAGCTAATACTCTTATTCAGAGGATTAAAAGAAATACAATAAATGGAACAGCCAAATGAGAAAAAAAAAACAGCTTCCAAGAATAGACTGAAGTAGATGTGACATCACCAATTTGTTTGTGGACAACCGTTCTGAAGCCTCAAGTTTGGCATTTTGTCATCACCATCTTGTTTTATTTGGAGCCAGAAGTGCCCATATTTGGATGAGGGGGTGGAGCTGTGGAGGAGCAAGGGATAGATGTAATTGTGAGCCAAAACACCTCTGTGGTGATGACTTGTCAATCACAGGGTAGCCATGCCCTGAAGCACAGCCTGCTTTATCATCTATTTTAGTCTAAATGGAACCATAATTACAAAATGAGCATCATGCTGTATTGAGGAAGACTTGGAACATGAGTCCAGCATCTTATTAGGAAAATGTTTACCAGTGTTGGGTAAGTTACTCTCATAATTTAATACATTATATATTACTAGTTACCTTCATTTGAAAAGGATAACTCAAATGTACAACTAGGTGTTTCACAGCAGGTAATCAAAGCACAGAGGTTTATTAAAGTTAATTTCAAATCCAGTGGTGGGCAATATTGTTAGCTTAATGAAGGCTCTCCTCCAGAGCGTATGGTCTGGCCAATTCATGCATTCACATACAGCGGTTACCACTTGGTTTTAAAATCCTCTGCTTATATTAATGATAGCATGATCATATAGAACAATTAAATAGCCTAGACCTTTTTAAATAAATGAAAAGCCATGGAGACAGGGATGGGCTGGCAGAAGTCTGATTAATTCTGACATATAATTAAATATTTGCAGGCCTATTGTATTTAACAAAATGAACAAATGTTGAGGTTAGACCAACCAATGGATTGGTGAGCGAGTAAGTCACTGCCACAAGCACAAATAGATAGAAAAAGATTTTTCCATTGCATTTTGGATTATTGCCAAAAATAAGCTCTGTGGCAAACAAACGTCTATGATACTTACACGTTTTGTTTAGCAAGATAATCTTCACAAATTACCACCACTTTCATGATTTTTGAAGCCTAAATGCAATCACCAGATGTAAAAAGCTAATGTTAGGTTATAAACGAACATAAGCATAAGCATAACCTAACATCAACGCCATAATAACACTGTAAGGCTGTGTCTGTGTCTGTGTCTGCGTGATGACATTCTGTAGTCTCATTTAGCTACTTGTGAGCAACCACCTTTTTTAAGATACATAGAAGCTTCAAAGTTTATGAGTGGAGTATTTACTGATGCATTTTATGTTATACAACAAAATGTGAAAGTCTCCTCAGTTTGTGTTAACCACAGACCTAATTTCAGGCATATAACCAATAACCCATTCAAAAAACCCATTGACTTTGGGACAAGGGAACTGTGAGTGGTAAAACGCGAACTCATTTCCTGCTTTTAGGACTCATTCTTGGGGTGGAGCTTGAAGACCCGCTGGCTGGTGGTGTGCCAGTCAGCTCCAACAGTAGGCTACCAGAGAGAGATTTATGTATAAGACGGGGATGGTGTGCCATTGTACATGCTAACACACAGCACAACATCAACCAGGTGTGTCGCTCACCAGCACCATTCTATGACATGACAATACACAAAAACCTATAGGGGATATTTTTTCCTGGTGGCACACTGGCCCACGTGGTGCTGTGTGGATAAATGAAAAATGAAAACAATAAACAGTTTCTTTTGGGTGGTAATGCATTATATTACCTTGTTACTCCTAAAATGTAATTTATTACTGTAACGCACTGCCCCAACACTGATGTTACTGATATACCTGTAAACAATCAGACTTCTTTTTGTAGTCAGTGGGGTCTCTCTGTGCTGGCTAACAGGAAGAAAGCAGGTTTAAGGCACTTCTGCATTGGCCTCACTCTTCAGACCCAGAGATAACCCCTTTCTTTCAAGCAAACAAACTATAGACCATTTCAAACTATACAACATAAACATCCTAAATAGGTCCAAGTGTATTTCCTGTTTGAATGTTTGTTAATGCAGTAGCTGACAGGAAGTAAACAGTGACCAAAGCTGTTGCCCTTGAAACGGAATGGAAATGAAATGGTTTATAGTGCAAATGTCAAAGAGCAGACCATATCCATAGACTGACAACAGAACTGAGTGAAGCACAAGAAAAAGACTTAGAGCACTGATTCCCAAACCTGAGTACCTGTACCCAGTTGGGTACCTCTGCAGTTGTCAGAGGGCATGTAGGAAGATAATCTAACTTCATTAAGAATAAAAAGGTGGTTTGGTTTAAAAACATCCACATTTGTAATGAAGAGGAAAATAAAGAGCCAAATAGGATTATAAATTAGGGATATATTTACAGGTAGTTTAATTCCAATTCATGCTACCATATACTTCCTGAAAGAAATTAAAATAAATGGTTTCATATTGGCTGTGTGAACTTTTTTTAACACTATGTATTTTCAGAGGATTAAGTAGCATCCAGATTATATACCATTCATGAGAACATATGAGTGGTGCAGGTGAAGGATTGCCTTACTTTATGTGAAAAGGCTGAACCTGACAAAAAAGGCTGGGAACCACTGTATTGGATAATAAGCATGATGTTATAAAAGATGGCTTTTGACTGAATGCGCTGTGACTTTATGAAACAAATTTAGATAAAATCAGCTGTTAAGTAGCAGCCTGTCATCTTTTCTTATGCTTGCTTACGCTTGCTTGCAGCGAGCTCAATTAGTGCATTTTATCCCATGGTAAGATAAAAGTTAGGAAACTTTAATGCTCCGTTAGACTCTTCATATCAACACATTAAATGTCATAAATGCAGCCGTGCCTTTTTGTGCCCATAACCTCGGTCCTTGAAAAGCTGCTCTCTTTCCACAGCCAAAGCTAAAAGAGTGAATGAAAAAAAAAAAAAAGACGAGGAGTTAATGCTGAGGCGGCAGAAAAGGAGAGACAGTCACAGCACTCAGTTGTAACACAGTCTGGCACAACACTGACAAAGGAAATGAGCAAACCACACAGCAAATAACAGACTTTTATTCAACACTCTGGGCTCCAGTGCTTACATCTGGGTGCCAACCCCCGTCACTTACAAATAAACGGATTTATGAGAAATATTACGCACAAATTACTACATTTGTCTAGACAGGACATTATTGTAGCTTTACTTACATTGGCAAGACTAGGTTCAATTTTCATAAATATGTATATTGGTATAGGTCAAACATTTACAGCTTCCAAATTTGCACTTAGGAGTAAATGGCATGAATCTGCAAATAAACATTTCTCAGTGTAAAACTATACATAAGAGCTGGGCTTCCCTGCCACATAAACTAAACTCATTCATACTTCCTACATAGAATAATTTGGATTTAGAGAATTTTAAAGTGTAATAGTTGTAATTCCACAGTAATATGGTACATGGCATTCACCTGGGAAAGTATTTCGAGGTTATGAATATTCATTGACGTGAATATACACATTTCACAGGCAAGCACAAGCTACCAATAAGTGCAACTGGTTGTTTTCTACAGTCACTTCAGTTCTTTGAAAGTGGCTCTCCCATTTGCTTTTTCATCAGCTTAATTTTTAGTGTGTAATACTCCTCTTGCAGCTTGAGGACTGCCTCTTGTCTTCTCAGCACAGACATCTCCAGATCCATTCGCTCTTGCAAAGTAGTGCAGTGTACTGAGGGTGGGGTAGTAGAGCAGAGAGTATCTAGGTGCTCTGCAGAGGCAGAAAAGTCGGCAGCGCGATGAGGACTAAAATTCACTGCAAGTGCTTTCGGGACGTTAGTAAATACTGCCATTTTCTGGTCTGCTGGAGAGGAGGACTGATCTGGATATGTAGGAAGCTCAATCTGTCTCACTGGAAGTTTGTCTGAGAATGTTTCATCCATCGTGTGCTCATGTCCATCCTCGTCACAGCTGGGGAAAAAAAGCTTGTCAGTGATATGTTTTGACAAGAATTTGTATTTCATCTTTAAAGGAGCTGTATTTGACATTCAAAGCATATCTATGACTCAGAATCTGGGAATAATTTGTACACAGTTCTCAACATTAAGGTGGCTGAGCTGGCTGCTACCAGCTAACAGTGCTAACTGATTAAACAGCGCTAACAACGGCAGCAGTGCTAACAGAGCTAAGGGTCCTGACACACCAAGCCGCTGGTCAGCCGCCAGTCAATGTCAGGCCATCGGTGAGTGTCTCGCTCTAGTTTCTGCACTGTGTCCGGCATCATTGGCACTAGTCAGCCCTTGGTGGCCATTTTTCTGGCCGATTGAGTATGTTGAATTGGTGACGGAAATGGCAGAGCCCGTCTATGAATGAAATCACTCTGACTGGCAGTTCCGCTCAGTGCATAAGTAGAGAAACAAAAGTGAGGAAGGTAAACAAATGACTAAAGTAAAGACAGTATGAGACCAAAACGACAATTGAGCTCTGTAGCAAAAACGGTTCATTATCATTATTATTATTATTATTATTATTATTATTATTATTATTCTCTAGCACACAGTAAATATCCTCTGTTCTTTTAACATGGGTTTGTGTTGTTAATGTGCTAACTGGCTAACTAGTGTCTTCAATTTATCCTATCAATCTTCTGGTTTCCATTTTTTAATAACAAAAACAGAATACTGCCACCTGCTGGTATGGCGAGTAACTCCCTCTCAGGCAGGTGCAAAACATGTGTGCTAGTTGGCCATCAGCTGTAGTCTTTGTGGTCCGTTTAGGTGCAGGTTTTTGGCCAAGACACAGGCTGTGTGAGGTGATGCACCAGGCGGCCTTTGTCACCACTAGCTCTTTGATGCCAGTTTGGTGTGTCTGGGCCTTAACATTGGTCAAGGTGGGAAGGCAGGAAGGTGGGCACTACGCAGAGCAGCTGCGATTAGCTATCCAGTGGAATACACTCACAGGGTCTCACTTGTGCTAAAATGCACACACAGCTGGCACAATAAAGAACAAAGAAGCTTGTATTACAGCACAGACAGAGGTAAAGTGACTTCATTCTCTGCTCACGATGCAATTACTCCACTAAACCTTAAATAGAAAGGTTTGCTCCTTTTTCAATGTTCTGAATATCGATATTGCGCCACCTGCTGTTGTTCAGCAGTGTCAGTGTTTACTGAACTGGTTTGAGTGTGGGATTGGCCAGTAATGAGGCCTTTCTGGTGGCACATGGGCCTGGTCCTTCCAGATTATAAATGCTGGCTCTGAAACTCATTCTCTTTCCCTCTCTCTTCCTGACAGGCACCATCCCCTTGGTGATGTATCAGCTTTAGTTCATCCTTGGTTCCATTTTGCTTATGTCGTTCACTCTACAACATTCCCACACTACAGTGATCACACATGCACTCACTTCATTAGTGATCCCACTGACATTCACACCCCACCCTGTATGTTCTGTTCCACATGACTGCAAATTCAGTTACTTTTGTTAAATAAAATTACTCTGCTTCATCCTTTAAAATGGTGTGTCTCCTGAATTTGTCATGGCCCAAGAGCCAACTTTTGACAGTCACATACAGCTCCTTTAAGGTTAATGGTCGGTTCATCCAAATGGCAAAAAAAAAAAAAAAAAAAATTAGTGGTATCTAGGTTTGGTTTAATTTGTCCAACTTCTGTGATTACACCTTGGATTTTGTTCTTGTGCGCCTACAGCACTGACACATTACAAAACCATGTTGCTGCTACTCTTAATAATCCACAGACCTCACTGTGTACAGTTTTCATAGGGGCTTTTTATTTCCACTGAAAAGTGTTAAGAGTGAGGTCTGTGGATGATTTAAATGTAACTGAGATATTAGGTGGGAGTAAGTGGGAAAATGCTGTATGCTTGTTTTGTAACTGGGATAAACAGACCCCTATGAGAGTTGAGTTTTGCTTTGATTCAGTCTAGGCACTAAAAATAGTCAACAGTTAGATAAATGTACCTGTTTTGTTGAGTTTCCACCATGTCTGAGATTGAAGAGTCTTTCTGCAGCATCTCTGAGAGGTTCATCACAGAAATCACTACTTGAGTCACAGTACTTAACTGTTCAAGGGTCAGGCTATCTGTGGATGAAAAAAATATTTCATGCATTTAACAGTAATAAATACAATACTATAAATTCAATACAAACAGGGATGATGTGAACATCTACCATACCCACTCCAAGGGTCTTGACTTATTTCACCAGTCTGAGATTGTAGATTTAATGACAGTAATTATAACACTTTTTATTATTACCAAACAGCAGGTTTTCCTCACCTGTGCCTGCTTGCCTTCTCAGTCGTTTGATCTCCTCCCTGGCCTTTGCCAGCAGATTTTCCCACTTCTTGTTACAGTCAGAAACTGTACGCTGCATCTGTGGAAAGGCATTGTTGATGGCTTGGGCTATTTCCTCCCAAGCTTGTCTCTTATCCTGTATTGAAACCCCAGTGCTGCACTTCCCTCTGATTATGTCCTTTCTCTCTTGCATTAGCTGTGTAAGAAGAAGACACTCCTGGTCTGTCCAGTTAGGTCTCCTCTTCCTGCTGGACATCCCCTCAAGTTGTAAGGGCATTTTTCTGTGACAGAGAGAGAGAGGCTGAGATTGATTTTCTGTGTGTATATTTGGTCCCTTTTACATCCTTACAGCACATGCATACAGTGCAAAAAAATAACACAACGAGATTTAACTATACTATAAAACATGATAATCCAACTGGGAGGTTAAGCCTTCCACTTAAGTCTTTAGAAACTTAAGTTGTTATATTTAAGAGATTTTTGAAATGTTTAGATTTTCGCTACCTGGAGGTCAGTCAAGGCGAAGAGTAATTTCACAGCAGGTCAGACCTTTGAAGAATGTAAATACTGTCAGGTACAGTACACGCTATAGTAAATATTTACTGATAAAACCTTAAGGTGAAATGTAAGGCTTTCTTCTCGGTCTCAGGGAAAATCCCCGGCGTCGCAGGATGATGACGTTGTCACCTGGTGACGTGTCAGTTTGTTTACAGCGGTCCTCCCTGCGCTGCAGCTGCACAGACATGGCTGTGGATATCACTTTACTTTTCAAAGCCAGTGTCAAGACAGTGAAAACGAGGAACAAGGCGATAGGAATAGGCTTTGACTCCACCAAAGATGAGATATTCAAGAGGAGCAGACCCAAGAGTGGCTTCTCTCCGAAGGCCAAAGAAGTGGTGAGTGTTTTCTCGAGCTAACTTTAGCTAACTGGGCTAGCATCGACACAAACTGACTTTACGTGTAATGACAGCTAAATACTGACCTGTTTTAGTGACATTGACCCTAACGATGGTTTGTAGAAATAACAGTAAGCCCAGAAAATGTGTACAGTAAGTTAGGTAACTCTCCGGCATGCTTGGTGTTGAAACTGAAACTCAATGCTTGGGTTCAGTCCATGTGCACCAGCTGTTCACAGTTAGCACGGCCTCTGTCAGCTGTTTAATGTTGTATATCTTTACACAACTGTACTGAATGCAATATGATTCATTAATTCAATATCTGACAAATCAAGGCTCTTCATTACATTGCAGCCATGCTCATTGATTTCTTGCGGCTCCTAACGCACCCAGAGATATTAAAGGGATAGCTGCCTTGGTTAAAAAAAGGATGTAGCAAAACCTCTGACAGTTTACACATTCATATAATTTTAAAGTAGATATCATGATATTGGTCAAACCTAATGGGATTCATCCTGAAAACTGCTGGAGCTGATGATTTGATACATGTGTCAGATGTATTATCTTACTCTCCTGATTGTGCTGTTTCTGAGGATAGCAGCCTCCAATTTAGATCCTGTTATCTAGCCGTATCATACATGGAGAATATAAATAACTGCGTATATTTCCCCAATAATGTCATGTTTGGGGTGCTAAAATAAATTGAGTGAGTCTTTTTATTTGCTGTAAGATGATTAGTGTATTCAGGGGGGTTGTCAAATGCAATAAACTAAAGTTCAATCACTTTTGGCCTTGTGAAAGCCAACAGAGTATGATTTTTATGATCTTATTCATTTCCAAAAAATAATTTCAGTGTTATACAGGAAAAATACCAGCCAGAAACCATAATCATACTCAGTGAGTCAGAGTTTTATTTTCTCCATGTGAATATGTTATTTACAGAGAAAGGAAATTAATTTTCAAGTGGGTTGGTGATTTTGACTAGTTTTCTGTATTTTACAGCTTACAGGATTAGGTATGAAACAGTTACCAGTTTTATGATAAACCGTGGTAAAATTTCCAGTGGTTGTTATTACCATATCCAATATTACTTGTCATTAAAACAGTGTTTGATTCGCGCTTTGAGAGACTCACAGTAAATACTGTCCAGCATCAACCAAAGGTAGCAGAAGTCTCCCAAATGCAGGTGCACAGACCATGCAACGTGGGTTTGTTTTGATCTTGGTTTGTTTACAGAGACAGTGTGCTGCAGGCAAACCAAGTGATACTACTGATCCTTTGTCCTCATGTACAGTGACACAGACACTCGAGCAAGCACTTCAAATTCATATGGTTTTGTTTAAATGAGGTATTGGCTGTGTCATTATTTATGCAAACATTACGTGCATAGAGCTGCTTATTTATTTGTGTTTTTGATAGAAAACTTGGTGAAATCATTTCAGTGTGTGTATCAGTACATTTTGGACATTTTCACCACATTTTAACAACACAGTGATGATTCGATTATCATGATAATTTTGGTCACCATAATCGTGATGTGAAATTTTCATTCAGTTTCACATCTATACAGCATGCCATGCACTGTCATTGCATGTATTCAAAACAAAGAAGCTTTCCACATAGCCATTAATGTACTTATACAAAGGCCTTCCCTGTCTGTCTTTCACTGCATCATTCTTCCAGTTAGATTTGAGCATTATATCTGCTTTTAATTCATTCTGTCTGTCTCTCCAACTTATCTTGCACAGTGCCCAGTGTTTAGGCGTCAACGTATAGCAAACAGGGCATGTCTTGAGACTAAAAATCTTACACCTGTTGGAATTTGGTTTTGGCAGTTAATCTAATGTCACCACTTTTGGCAAATATTTATACATCTTTGGCAAATGTGATTTATATATCACATGTGTTTTTTGTACAATGCTGCTTGTCTGTGTGACCCTTCTCTGGACCCACTCACAAAGCACTGAGGCATTGATATTACGACACAGTTCAAATTAAATTGTCTGTTTCAGAAATTGCAGTGTTGCTTTCTGGCCTGTTAGCTTGCTTTGTTCCACACCAGCTTTACCATTATATGCAAAATGTGAGCTAATCATCGCCAGCAATTATTATCAGTAAGTTTTTCCAAGTAGACATACATAAATACTCTGTGGACTAAAGACTGAAGAGAACATTACAACAACTTAACGCTTCCAACAATGTCATGTACTGTACACAGGGAAATAAATATTACTTAAATAATATAGCACTTACAAAAAACACAATTTTTTACTTTGAAGAAAAGACATTTTAAAAAGCAGAGCAGTCTAAAAAAAAGAATAATGACTGCTCTGCTTGAGATTTGGGAAGACAAAAGCTAAATTGTTTGGGGGGAAAAAAAAAATCACCTTTGGCCAACTGGCCAGACTCGGCAGTTTTGAGCCCAGAACATTTGGTGCCAGCTGTCAGATCCGAGTGCCGCTGCTCCTCCAACACTGACAGGCCTGGGTTCTGGGCTTTGAACCGACCCGGAAAATTGCCTAATGCGATCTAGACTTGAGGCTGAGGAAGCCGAAACATTACTTATAAAAGTAGTGGAGACCATTCTTCTCACCTTATTTAGATTGAAAAGTCATGGCACATTTTCTTATAATGTACTGAACTTATTAAAACAGTTCAATCTCAGACAAATCTTCAATTTCAAATTTTGAATTCAGTACCTCTGTTGAAAGACTCACTGTGTCCTAATCTTGATTTAACTGGGGAAAATTCACATAGCTTTAAATATACTGGTGAAGAAAAGTTGTTTTGAATCTCTTGTCATGGGACACTGACTTTAAAAACTTGGCAGGAGGAGAGGCAGCATTGGCGTTTAATTAGTTCAGGAAACCTCACAAAATATCTCAAATTTTATTCTTCCATTGAGGTACGCAGACATCATCAATGGTTGGCAGTAGGAGATGGATCATTGGCAGCTAAGAGGCTTCGCTCCGTGTCATGACTGTTGCTTCTAGAGCCAGAAGTCCATGGCCTGACATGAATATTGTGAACACAAACCTCTTCAAAGGCACCTTGAAAAACCACTTTACGTTTCCCTCGGGGAGTCGGGACTTTAAGTTGTACCTGATGTCTCCAACCATCGATCTGAGGCAAACATGAGCAGTTCTGCACAACCAGGTTTTTGTTATGTTCTGTTACGTTGATATTAGAAATGGTGGTTTAATAAAAGCAGTGGTGCTGATTCAAAGAAACCCAAACCTATCCTGTGGTGCCTGCCCTCTGCTCTCCTCCCCCCCTACCGCTGTCTCCCTCGCGCTGCAGATATAATCTCAAACCATCTCGGTGAAGCAGCTTTTGTAGAAATTGAAATTGCAAGTTTGGAATGTCCTGACTGCTTACAGTTATGTTGCGGTTTTTTACCCACAACTCAACTATCCATTCTTCTCTGTACGGCCTGACATAGGCAGCATTTTTTTGTGCAAGTCCCCTCTTCACATGTATGATTCCATAAACATGCTGCAATAACATTTTCTTTCGGCTCTCGAACAATTTCTTGGGGAAAGCCGATCCTCCCAAGAGCCAGTGATTAAAGGTGGAAGATCAAAACAGAGAAAATATTAAATTAGGTCCCCAGTAACAATGTTGACGGCCGGCACCTAATGCACAACAGATGTGGGTGCCCTTCAAGACATGCATAACTCTCCAAGTTCCCACTGAAGCTTCACAAAAATAGAAGGAAAACATCAAAGTTGACAAATACACAGTGGTCCTATGAGGCTTTTTCCCACTCACAGAGCAGCTCAATGAGAAAGGAAATGTAGCTTCTTTCAAGGCAATGAAAAAAAGGCTTGATTGACTAATAAGAGGGCCAGTGTTTACAGGGTGGGGTTCGGTCAGGGGAATCTTCTACCTCATAGGGGTCGGTTTGGGGCACTGTGATCTTTATTTCACCGCTCACCTCGTCTCTCCGCAGCATGCTGCCCTTCTCGAGTTTAAATGGAGGAGGTCACTTTAAAATTGTTAAATTGTGTGTAGAAAATAGCGCTTGGCTCCCTACTGGGCTTTTAGTATTGGTATTCCAAAATTGGCTCCTTCTCACAGTGTTTTCTTAGAAACCCTGAAAAGTGTGGCCATCAGCCAAGCACTTAAAAGTATGTTGTGCTGTCAGAGGAGGGGGGCTCTTCCTTATGATAACTTTCACATTGAAATAGTATGCTCGGATACTCTCAAAACATTTAGTCTCGAATCCGATTTACTCCATATTTTTGTTAGTGATGATCAAGTTTCCAAGTCCAAAATGTTTTTCAGACATTTGGAATTTCATCAAAGTTGTTTTGGGGATACTCTGGACTGTATCAGCCCAAATAATGTCTGATTATGAACATTAAAGTAAAATGTTTTCCCAGTGAAATCCACTGGGATATGTTAAATCAGTTAGGGCGCACTTAAAGATGGAGACCAAACTTTGAAATCGTTTGTAGCATCATTTTTATGATTCTGTCAGTGCTGTCATTCAGATGGAGCATATTAGCAGGTCCTTTGCATTTAATAGGTCGTGTTGGACATGTTGCACAGCCACAGCAGCAGATGGCACACAGCAGCGACGTTTATGAGATGGCATTAATGTCAGTCATTCAGAGAATAAAGTGCACTTTTGTCTTGAATACTTTGCCAGGCCCCTTCTTAAAATTAAAGCTATTGTCAAACAAGTAACAAAGTTATAAAACATTTATGGTGGAAGCACAAAGCCTGGGTTGTGTAGCTGAAATTGGCCCACTGCAATATTCACAAAATAGCCTCACACAGATTGAATACGTATATTAGAGAGCAAAAAAACGATCAGTCACATAAAAAAAAGTGTAAAAAGTAAATGGTTAAATCCTGACTTTAATATCATATTGTCTTAAAATGTCTTAAAATATCAATTCCCGCAATAGCCGATACCAGTGTTTTCTATGTTGTTGTTTATTTTGTTTATGTTGTTAGTTATTTCCACGTTTGTGCCAGGGAAGCAAAGACAT